ATAAGCTGTGGACATGAATAGTGGGCCGCGATTCTAAAAAGTTTGGGAACCCCTGTTTTAGAGCTTTTGTTGGGTAGGTATATGGATGTGAACAACTATAATTAATCTGAATTTATATTTTGGTTGTTTATTTTGGTAGGTGAGAGATGACCTTAATAACATATTGTAACCTTAACTTCTCCTGCATCCTTAATGTAATACTGCCTTAAAGAAACGAGATAATACCTTTAAAATAGGTGGCAAAAGTTTTTTAAGTGATGGTCCACGAATTGCACTAAAAAGTTCCTCTACTAGCTGGCCACTGTCATCGACATAATGTTGCAGGGGGTGCATTTCTTTTTTAAGATCGAGTTCATCACTATAAATAGGTGCAAACAACTGAAAATGAAAAAATAAAAACATTGAATAAATAAAATGTACAGACACATACATGAACAAACACACATTTAGAGTTACTTCAAAATTCTGTTTTGTCACACTGTTTTTCTTTGTAGCTATTAAAAATATCTTTTGAAATCATAATTTGAAGAAGTTAAACATTTACAATAATATGAAAATTAATTAAAAAAAAAAGGAATTATATACAGTCAAGCCACAAGGACTGTGTCATAAAATCCACTGTAAAAGTGTGAAATTACTAACATTAAACAAAAGTAATGAAATGAAAGTGATCCACAAAAGATAAATATCTGCTTGTATCAACAGTAAATATAAACTGTAATGATACAACTTGAGCATTAATTCCTTTGAAGGGTCGATTTTGTATAAATACTTGTATAACTGTACAAGATTCATATTTGTGTGACAAGTCATGTGTTTTCATCACCAACATAGCTCGGTTATATTTTCTATTAGAACTACTAATTTCTTCATTATTGCTATTTGTGAATTTTCTTGATATTTTTCATGTAATTTTATAAAATTTAGCTACAGATTTTATACATTTAATTTGAAGTAAAATCTACTTAGACTAAGGCTTTGATTCACAAGTTAAAATTTAAAAGTAATGAAGAACTTTGAATTTTAGAACGATAACGAGTTATACTTCTTGAAGTGTTTATTGTGAATTTATGACAAAATAGTAATAATAACCTCATCTTCATTTTTCATTGCAGAGAATTTGTGTTCTTTTCCTGTTCTTTTCTTCTTTACTGGCAAATCTGTAACTTCTGAAGCATGAGGTGGAGTTCTTTTCTTCATTTTCTAACTAAAATAGACATAGAAGGATTTTATCAGCATATCAGTTCATAGCAAAGTGGCAAAGCCAACAACTACTTCTTTGTATTGCAATATATTAGTTTTATATTACTTGTTTAAATACTTTTAATCTATATTTTCCTGTTAGTATCTCACGATATATATGCATCATATATGCAAAATATTTACAGAAAGGAAGACTTGTTCTGTTTCTGCTTTGAGTAAACAAATGAAATGGTTAATTCTCACAAGTTTAAGCTAAAGAATACTAATATGATTTAAAACTGAAGATTTTAACTGGCTCTGGTATAATTTCAAAAGATCTCATCGACTGAGTAGGGTTATGAGAAAATTCAACTACTGAAATATTTCATAAAAGTGTTACATATGCCATGTTTATGAAAAAATAAATAAAAGTAAACAACAATTTTTTTGCACAATGAAACATTAAGGTTTATTAGATACTTAAAGCTAACAAATTTCAGTAACACAATTACCATCAGTTATGTTCCAAAATTAGTTGGCTTTAAGTAACTAATAAAGTTTTATGTTTCATTGTACCAAAACTACTAATTTTCTTCCTGTTATTTACATACATTGTGTAGTACAATGAATAAGAAATTACATTTCAAGTATGTTTAAATGTAACAAAAATGAAACTTTTAGTGACTGGAATTCTACAAAGCAGTTCACCATGAATAATACTGGAGAGAAAAAACTTGTTTTTTTTCCTTGTGCTTCTGGCTTTATTGAAAATACACACACATCCATAGTTCCCTCTAATTTTTTCCAAGCTATGTGCAGAATGGATTTTTTCACGTGCATCAGTATCAAGGTAATGTTCGGATGTGCACTACCAATTTTATTTTAGGGAGGGTTGGACCATCAACCATATTGTATCATTAGGCCTCTTTACAATGCTACCAGATGGTTATTTGTGTTTTAGGCATAGTGACTGCCGGGGTCATTAAGGCCATCAACATGTTGAGACTCCTCACCATTACTGAAGATGTGCACAGCTGCAATAATGAAGTGCGAGGCATTCGATTGGTTGTTATGCAGCTACACAGCCACGAAGCTTAGAGGGAACATTGGACACATCTATGCTGTACATGTACCACATACGAGGTTCTTCCAATGCCCGTCTAGAAATTCAATTCTCATTCCCAATGGAGAGTAAAGACATAATGCAGTGTTACACATCAAGTTCATAAATAAGTATGGTGGTTGAATGTCCATGATAATGAAATATTTCAAGGATCTGTTGTACTGGTCTACATAAATAATAGTGCACTAAAACCAAAAAAATATAAGAAATAATGCAAAAATATGCACTGACCAGAGTTTTACACTGGGACCAATATCTTGCAATTGTGACTTGAAACCAATGCTCTACCAACTATTTCCTCAGAGTTCAAATTCAAAATAAAACTCCTTATCCTTACTATTACACTAGATGTACTTATGTAGAGTCCCCAAAAGTGTTCTGTTTGAAGAGTAAATAAAACCAAAATTAAGAGTACAAAATATTTTATTTCCTGCTTTTGAAGTTCATATGTCATGTTGCATTGTAGCCGACAGAGTGCATAATCCTTTCCAGATTCATGACATGCACAAGTTTTTCTGATGTCATGACAGTACAAATTGCAACATTAAGTATCCCTTATGTGATATTATTTTAGTGTCTACTGACTGACTAACAGACAACACACTACTATATAGTGGTGCCAAATAAAGAATGTTAGAAAATACAAGTCTAATATTACTGTTTTATAGTAAATATAGTTAATTAGATGGCTTTATTAAATGATTGATTAACTTAGACATCAAAGTACACAAAAGGTTTCATATACTCTTTAAATCAATGTTTCTAAAGTGGTGGGTTTCCAGGGGAGTCCTGTGCTGTCTACACCGAGTCAATTATTTTTTAGTCCTTTTGGTGTCTGAGAGGCATACATATCACCTTTGTTATGAACTATGACAAACAGTTTTTTCATCCTTGTAAAGATAATGGGGGTCGCGATGACCAAAGCCCATATGCAGAAGTTTTCTGACAAATCCAGCTGAGAAACTGCTTTAGATATATATACTTAAGTTAAACATAAGTATACAATTGAAAAATAAAGTTGTTAAAGGTTGGAGAAAGGCCTAGAACTATTCAAAACACTATTGGATTTCCATTATAGTGGCCTGTATGATGTCACTCAAACTTCACATTATCTCACAATTTGCTTTATGCAGTCATTCCTAGTTTGCCACTGAATATGAAAAGACCACCTTTTGAAAGAACTCAGGCTAAAGGGTATCGTCATATTTTTGTGTTAAATTGATTTTTTTAAACTATGTGTTTTCCTAACAATATGAATAATTTTTCTTCTTAAAATTAAATCTAACTAAATGTTTTATGAACATCTTTTCTAAAAATTAGTTATGTTCAAATTTGCTTCTTGATAATGCCTTATTGAGTGAACCATGCAAAAAAACTGAAATATTCTTATATGGTCAAATGTCTGACCATGCAATTTATCAATTGTGATGGAAAAGGCAAAGAATTTGAGGGTGAAGGGAACATGAAGGTAAGTGCTAATAATTTTTGACTGAGTTTTTAAAAATCTCTTACATAAGTTGAAAAACATCAATAAATAATGTATTGTAGCACCATCTATTGGGTGGAAAAGACATTTAAGTTATGTCTGACACAGACAGACACTGATGCTTAAACATAATATGATCCCTGTGTCAGGTTTTATGTATGGGCTGGATTCTTCACAGTAGGCATCTGTGATTTGTTGGTGATAAATTTCAAAAATAAACAAACCACACACAATCCACTTATTTTAAAACAATATATTAAAAACAAGTCAAACATATACGCAAATGTTTGTTTCACTGGTGGTTATCACAGTTGTATCCAGAGCTTTAAATAATTGCCTTTTTTTCATTAAAGTCCACACAGGCTGGTTCAGTTACTTTAGAACACAATTTGACAAGACAAATTATTCTTCTGTATTCTGTTATTACAATTTGTGATAATTTTACTTTAAAATCACCATTGTATGCTCTTTATGGCTAAACTCATAATCTTGCAGCCTATATCTATTTAACTACCTATATCTAATTTGAACTACATTTTGAATGTGTATTTATAGCCTAAAAGAGGTCTAGAATGTTCTACACACTATGAAATATTACAATTCAATAATACTCAATTAAAACAACGAGAAAACTTAGAAGGTTCTACTAACAAGATGTAGCAGTACAACTGAACTAAACAACATATGATTAGCAAACAGTGACGTAAGTGAACTTGTGATAAACTATTACTTCTAAAAATAACTACATACAACACTTGCACTGTACTTCTATCTAAATCATAACTCTTACATTAAACTTCAACAGTCATGTATATCTAACACTCTAAATAATCTATAATGGTATTTGTATTTTTCCAAATATTCAAAGGAGTTGTTCTATATATGACAATATTTGAAAAAAAAATTAACATAAAATCCCAAATCAACTATAGCCATTGTAACACCCAAACTTTGTAATTAAATGTTAACAAATAATTCAAATCCCAAATTTAAACTATTATGTTATTCTAGTTTTAACTAATATTGTTTGATTTTTGATTTTGCTATAAACATGAGTAAGTAAATAAAAAAATTTTATATAAAAATCCCCCCCCCCCTCAATTGGGATTTGAATATGAAACTTCCACTTGAGACTAACCATTGAG